GGAGCGGGGCGGGGGACAGCAGGGGCGGGGACAGCAGGGGGGCTGGGCTGCAGGGAGAGGGACAGCAGGGGCGCTGGGCTGCAGGGAGCGGGGTAGGGGACAGCAGGGGACGCTGGGCTGCAGGGAGAGGGACAGCAGGGGGCGCTGGGCTGCAGGGGAGAGGGACAGCAGGGGGCGCTCTCCTCTGGCAGGAAGGGCTGAGGGAAAATCAAAGGAAAAGCAGAGAACGGCAATTCTGATTGTGACCACCAGAGGTCACCACTTCCCCATGCATGGTCCGGCGCGCAGGCGGCGGGAGCCCGGGGTTGACCCCCAGGCGGGTGGGGGGGAGCGCCCCCTACCTCCTCCCGGACGCAGCGCGAGGTGGTGGCCACTCCGGTGATCATAGTCGGGGGGTAGAAGGGCCCTCGGGCCGGGAGCGCTGCCCACGCCTGGAAGATCTGTGAGTGGGGAGACAGCAGCACATGAGCCCCAGAGACAGGCACTCCCCTCCCAGAGCCGGGGAAAGAACCCAGGAGTCCGGGCTCCCAACCTCCCCCGCCTGCTCTAACCACTAGACCCCCCCCCCTCCACGAGCCAGGGAGAGAACCCAGGAGTCCGGGCTCCCAGCCCCCCCCTCCCCTCCCCTCCCGGAGCCAGGGATAGAACCCAGGAGTCCGGGCTCCCAGCCCCCCCCCCTACACACTAGACCCAGCCCCTCACCTCAGCCCCCTCTGCCCGGGCCTCCTCCACGTAGGCCTCTATGGCGCCCCGCTGGGCTTCGTCTGCCAGGGCCCCCCCGTCCATGGCCTTGTCCAGCGGGTCCCCGACACGCAGCTTCCCCAGCCGCGCCCTCAGCCGCTGCAGCAGCGCCCCGGCCACGGCCTCCTGCACCAGCAGCAGCGCCCCGGCGCCGGGAGCCTGGGAGGAAAGGGGTTAATGACACACCAGCGCCCCCTGCAGGGCACAGGCCCTCACGGCAATGCAGTCACACTCCAGAGGGGCCTGTTCCCTGCCCCCCTGATCCAGCCAGTCCCCGCCCTGGGGCCGGATGGGAGCCGGCGCCCCCTAGAGGGGACAGGCCCCGCGTCCCATTCCCCACCCCCTGAGCCAGCCAGTCCCTGCCCTGGGGACCAGATGGGAGCCAGCGCCCCCTAGAGGGGACAGGCCCCTGCCCCATTCCCTGCCCCCCTGAGCCAGCCAGTCCCTGCCCTGGGGACCAGATGGGAGCCAGCGCCCCCTAGAGGGGACAGGCCCCTGCCCCATTCCCCACCCCCCTGAGCCAGCCAGTCCCTGCCCTGGGGACCAGATGGGAGCCAGCGCCCCCTAGAGGGGACAGGCCCCGTGTCCCATTCCCCGTCCCTCTGTGCCAGCCAGTCCCTGCCCTAGGGCCGGATGGGAGCTGGCGCCCCCTAGAGGGGACAGGCCCCAGGCCCCATTCCCCACCCCCGCGACAGCTGGCGCCCCCTAGAGGAAGGCCGCGCTCCCTGCTCACCGGGCCCCGCTGGCAGCTCACGGCATTGCTCAGCCCCACGGCAGCTCCATCCAGGTCGGCCGAGTCGAAGACGATGGCCAGGGTGTCACCCCCCAGCTGCAGCGAGAGCCGGGGGCCCCTGCCGGCCGTGGCACGGCGCAGCGAGCGCCCCACCTGCAGGGAGGGGAGGGGGAGCGCTGGGAATGGGGCCAGGGCAGCCCCCAACTCCACCAGCCCAGCACCCCCCATGGCCTAGGTCCCCAGCCCCCCACCCTAGTCCAGCTACCCCCGGGGTCCAGCCCCCTCCCCCCAGGCCCCTCCAAGTCACAGCAGCCCCCTCCCTTCAGGGCACCCCACTCCCCTCTCAGCTCAGCTCTCCAGAGCCCCCTCCCATCCCCCCAGCCTAGACCATGGCAGTTCCCCCCAAGAAACCAGCTCCCCAATTCCACACCCCCACAGACCAGCCCTCTGGCACATGGGGTCAGGGGGAGAGCCCCCCCCTCCTCCTGGAAGCACGTACCTCCACGGAGCCAGCCAGGGCCACAGCATCCACCCCGGGGTGGGCAGCCAGCCCCCCGGCCAGCGCCCCCTCCCCCGTCAGCACATTCAGCACCCCTGGGGGCAGCCCGGCCTGGGCCCCCAGCTCGGCCAGCAGCAGGGCAGAGAGCCGGGCACGGGGGGGTGGGAGGAGAACCACGGTGTTCCCTGGGGGGGTAGATGGGGGTCAAGAGGGGGGCGCATGGAGCTCAGGGCAGGGGGACCCCCACAGAGGGGGCCTCAGAGGGGGACCACATGTGGGGGGCTCAGGGCAGGGCCTGCAGGGGGCTCAGAGAAGGGGGACCCCCAAAAAGGGAAGAGGGGGCCTCAGAGGGGACCACACGGGGCAGGCACAGGGGGACCCCCAGACAGGGACAATCACAGGGGGGGGATCCCCGCTGGGCGACCCCTTCCCCTTAGAAGGGGGGTGTGGGGAAGCTCTGGGGGAGACACACAGGAGCTGGGGGAGACTCAGAACCACGTGACACCCCCCAAGAGACCCGGGGGGATAGAAATATGGAGGTGGGGGGGGTGAACTCCAAGCAAGAGGGTTGGGCTGGCCCCCAAGAGGGGCGAGGGGATCCCAAGGGAACACACATGGGGGGCACAGAGTGGGGCAACCCCCCCCCACACACACCTACCCATGGCTAGAGCTGGGCAGATTTTCCAGGCCAGCGACAGCAATGGGGAATTCCAGGTAACCACGGCAGCGACCACCCCTGGGGGGGGGAGGTAGAGGAAGAAAGAGGTCAGAGCGGGTAGCCAGGACTCCTGGGTTCTCTCCCCAGGCCTGAGGGGGAGTGGTGTATAGTGGTTAGAGCAGGGGGGTGCTGGGAAACAGAACTCCTGGGTTCTGCCCTGGCTCTGGGAGGGGAATGGGGTCTGGTGGTTAGAGCGGGGGGGAGGGGTGGCTGGGAGCCAGGACTCCTGGGTTCTCTCCCAGGCTCTGGGAGCAGAGGGGAGGTCAAGCAGTTACACACGCCTAAATCCCCGTTCCCACATCGGGCCTCAGTTTCCCCCCACATAAACAGGCGCACAGCTCCAGCACGGGGCGAGGGAACCTCACTCTCTGGGCGAGATACTCACCCAGGGGCTTCCAGCCCCCCATCTCGGTGCCCATGAGCTGGGCCCAGCCGGTGTGGTGGTAGAAATGTCGCACGACCAGGGGCAGGTCCCGGTCCCGGGCTTCCCCGATGGGCTTGCCGGTGTCCAGGCTCTCCAGGAGTGCCAGCAGGCGCTGGTGTTTTTGGATGGTCCGGGCCATGCTGGAGAAGGGAGGGGGCCGGGGTCAGGCCGGGGCTGGCGTCCCCGCAAAGCAGGCTGCGGCCAGCGGGTGGCGACAGTCGCGAGCCGAGCGTGCCAGGCAGCAGGGGGCGCCGCGACGGCTCCGCGGGCGCCAGGCAGGCTGCCGTCACTAGGTGGCGACAGAACCACATGTCCAAACCGGGCGGGGTTTCTCCCCCACCGCCCCAACCAACGCCCCCTCCCTGCCCCCCGGCACCCTCGCGGCCGGCGCTGACTTGTGCAGGTGTCGGGCTCGGGCGTGGCACGGCAGGCGACTCCAGGCTTCGAAGGCTTTCGCGGCAGCTTGGACGGCAGCTTCGACATCCTCCGGCGCCCCCTGGAGGGTGGTGGCCAGCAGCTCCCCTAGGGCCAGGGAGAAAGATCCCCACTTATGCATAGCCCCCCCAACTTCCCCCTCCCCACAGAGAGATCACCCCCCCCCCCCAACTCGCCACCCCATGGAGAGATCTCCCTGCTTCCTCCCCATCCACACAGCCCCACCCCACCTCATCCCTCCACTCTGCTCGGAACTGAGCTGAGACCCAAACAACTCGGTTCACACATGGACTCACCAGCTAGGACGGGAATCGGCGCCCCCTAGAGGCCCTGTGTCCCATTTCCTGTCCCCTTGAGCCAGTCAGTCACCCGCCCTGTGGCCGGATGGGAACCGGCACCCCTTATGGGGAGAAGCCCCCCCCCCGTCCCCCACCCCCCTCTCAAGATCCAGTTTAACCCTTCAGGGTCAGACACGGCGAGCTGCTGCAGCCTGGGCTCGTACCGGTGGCTGGATTGGTGCTGCTGGCGGTTTCTCTCCCTTCCGGCTTCAACCATTTGCCATCCACGAAGTGCCCAAAGCTTCGACCGTGAGTCTCCAGCCAGGCCTGGGGTGGGGGGAAGCAGGAGAAATACACACCCTGGAACGGACAGTCAGACCCTCGGCAATACACCACACACCCACCGGGGGCAACCGGCCCCACGCTGCCCTCTAGTGGCTGGAAGCAAGAACGTGGTCACCGCGGGTCCTAAGCCCTATAGTGCAAAAAGGGGATTCTCTGCAGAATGCCCAGTCAGGTGCGGGAGGGGAGGGGTCCCGCTGTGGCAGGGACAGGGGATGTTCCCAGCAGGATCGCTGTGTTCTGATTCTTAGCCCAGCATAACAGACGCACCCCTGCGAGCTGAAATGAAACGCTACCCACTGTTTGATTAAACAGACGGGGAAACTGGGTTACGGAGAATGGACTTGACACACTGCCACAGAGGGTCAGACCTGGGCAGAAAATCCAGGAGTCCTCCTGTCTCCCAGCCCCCCTGCTCTAACCACTAGAACCCCCTCTCTTCCCAGAGCCAGGGAGAGAACCCAGGAGTCCTGGCTGTCAATCATTGGATCCCAGCTCTTAGCAAACCCACTGTGATGTGTTTTAACATGTTTTGAGGATGGGAAATTAGGCAGCCAGGACTCCTGGGTTCTCTCCACGGCTTGGGAAGGGGAGTGGGGTCTAGTGGGTTAGAGCGGGGGGGCTGCGAGTCAGGACGCCTGGGTTCTATTACTAATCCTGGGAGGGGAGTGGGATCTAGGAGGAGGTGACCGGGTACCAGGACACCTGGGTTCTATTCTTGTACTGTCGTCCCATCCCCGCCCCCGCCAGGGATGAGCTCCTGCGTCTGGGTGCGGTGTCAGCGCAGCAGGACAAGAGCTGGGGCTGCAGTGGAAAAACCCAGGTGGGACGGGACAGGCCCGGGGCCCGGGCTCTTGGCACAGTGCAGCCATCACTCCCCCGCCCCGCCCCGGGTGCTGCCTCAGCTACACCAAGGTCAGGGCCGCGGGCGGGGGTAGGGAAGGGGAAGTGGAATCTCGCTGTCTTGGCAATTCTGTGTTGGCCGAAGGCCAGCCTGCCAGCCAGGGCCTAGCAGCTGAATCCCCACAGCCTCCTAGGAGCCAGCAGGGCTGTCGCTGCCTGTGGGGAAACTGAGGCACACAGCGCTGGTGGGACTCAACCACCTTAACGCAGCCTGGGGCAGAGCTGGAGAGAGAACCCAGGAGTCCTGGATCCCAACCCCCCCCCCCTACTACTAGCCACCCCTCCCCTCCCAGAGCCAGGGAGAGAACCCAGGAGTCCTGGGTCCCATCCTGCCCTGCTCTAACCACTAGCCCCCTCTCCCCTCCCAGAACTGGGGAGAGAACCCAGGAGTCCGGGCTCCCAGCCCCCGTCCCCTCCCAGAACTGGGGAGAGAACCCAGGAGTCCGGGCTCCCAGGACTGGGGAGAGAACCCAGGAGTCCGGGCTCCCAGCCCCTCCCAGCACTGGGGAGAGAACCCAGGAGTCCGGTTCCCAATGTGTGTGTGTGGGGGGGGAGGGGGCTTACCTGGGCAGGCCCCGCCCCCTCTGGGGCAGGCCCATACTCCATGGAGCTGTAGATGCCCCACACGGACGGGCGCCCCCCTGCAGCTCCAGCCATTGACTCCCCGCCGGACTCTGCGCCCAGGCAGCCCGCCCCTGGCCGCTGGAGGGACCCAGCGCCACTTCCGGCCTCCGGAGCATCATAGAGACTAGGGTTTCGGGGACGGGCCATGACCTATCTCTGTGACTTCCGCCGGAAGAAGGTAAAACCGCGCTGCGGAGAGACCGGAAGTGTGGCAGACCGCAGCCGGAAGTGTGGCGTCCAAACGCCGGAAGGGGGGGCCCTCTCTGAAATTGACAAAGAACCAGTAAGTGTATCGCCGCAAGTCCCACCTCCTCCGCCCCGTGATAGGAAATGTGGCAGAAGACGGGAAGTGCGGCGAAACCCCTACCCCGGAAGCGATACTGTCATTACCGGAAGTGTGGCAACAGACACCGGAAGTTGGTTTAACGCTCCCGGAAGTGGGCGTCGCAGGCTTGGGCCAGGGTTGCCAATAGCAGCGGGGAGGCAAAGGGCAGGGGTCAGTGCCCGAGGGGCGGGGGGGAAGCTGGTGTGACCTCCTGCCCTCCCTGACCCCGGACTCCTGGGTTCTCTCCCTGGCTCAGGGAGGGGAGTGGTGGCTAGTGGTTAGAGCAGGGGGGGGGCTGGGAGCCCGGACTCCTGGGTTCTCTCCCTGGCTCTGGGAGGGGAGTGGGGTCTAGTGGGTAGAGCAGGGGGGGCTGGGAGCCCGGACTCCTGGGTTCTCTCCCCGGCTCAGCTGGGGATGGGACCTGGGGGCTGGTATCACAGCCTCCTCCGGGCACCCTGGGCTGGCAGCCCCGGCAGCCTGGCATGGTGCCGCGGGGGGTGACACCTTGTGGGGGGGCTGCCGTCCCTTAGTCTGCATAGATCACCCCAGGGGCCAATGCCCCCCCGGTGCCCCGATCCGCTCCGTGCAGCCAGTGGCCGGGCCTGGTGCTCCGGGCTCCAGCACTGCTCCGGAGTCTGCGCTGGCAGGGACCAGGCCTGGCTTGGGAGGCCGCGGGCCTCTCTGCCCATGGCGGTAGGGTGGCGGTTTTGGGGCTGGCAGGGCTGCGTGGTCCCTCGCTCCCACGCCACGGAAGTGGGCACATCCGTCTGAAGCTCTGTCTGTTTTGCAGCCCCGTCCCCGGAGCAGAGCCCATGGCCTCCCAGACGGACAAGTCCCTGCTGTCGGCAGAGCTGGAGGAGGAAGACGATGAGGAGTTCAGACAGCTGCTGCTCCAGGTCTGTGAGCGGGCCCAGCTCCTGCCCGCACCCCCCCGGGTGCAGGGCTGCACTGGGGAGTGTTGTGGGGGCAGCAGGCTGGCTCTGCTTGTGGGGCCCTGTGGGGGAGTAGCAAGCCCTCGGAGCCGGCAGGGCTGGGTCTCAGCAGGGATCTCTCGGTGCGGTGTCGACCCAGTGGCCTCTGCTCCCTTCCCACCTGCAGGGTTTGCAGCACTCTGATAGCTGTGGTAGGTGGGATCTGGCCAAGGGAGCTGACAGAGGAATCAGCCCCTGGGAGGAGGAAGCGGGGGGCTGATGGGATCTGGTGGGGCAGGATCAACCCTGTGAGGGCTGGTGGGATCGGAATGGGGGAATCGGTGACTGGTGAGATCCCCCTTGGTCCCACTCTCATTCGTTCTAGGTGATGCAGCGATTGAGTTGAGGCGAGCTGGGATCCGGGGTGTGTGTGTGTGTGAGGAGTTGTGGGTTCATTCACAAGGACCTGTCTGTGCTGGGGCCTCATCGCAGGCGTGTGGGTCTGGAGGGACCACTGGGTGGGTGTGGTGGGGTCCAGTGCCTGTCTCATCCCCCTTTCCCTGCAGGCCACCCAGAAGATCCAGAGTGCGATGCCTTCGGTGCGCGACTCGAAGCCGATCCAGCCTCAGCCTGGTATGGAGTTTGGGCCGGGGGAGCCCAGGGCTAGGGGGCTGTGGGTCGGGAGTGAGGGGCACCAACCCCTTCCTTTCCCTCTTTCTCCAGGCTTCTGCATTAAGACCCACGCGGGCTCCCAGGAGAAGGTGTTTGTGAACATCTGCCGGTCGCTGCACATCCCGGCGCCCCCCGACCTCAGCCACCAGGAGCTGGAGTGTCTGATCGAGTCGGACAGCGCCTCCTCCTTCCGCATCCCCATGAGCCTTGGGGAGCCTCACGCCGAGCTGGACAATAGTGAGCCACCCCCCCACCCCCCGCTGTGACCCCACAGCCCTATGGGTGGAACCTCCCACGGTGACCCCTGGCTCCGCCTGCATACAAACACCTACTGTTGGGATCTCTGTGACACCCAATCCTCAGCAAGGACTCCTGTCCCTTATCCCTGTAGGGGGCCGCAGGGCGGGGGCTGGCTGGCTTGGGGGGCAGGAAATGGGACACATGGCCTTTCTCTCTAGGGGATGCTGACTCCCACCTGGCCCCATGGTAGGGACTGGCTGGCTCAGGGGGTGGGGAATGGGGCACGGGGCTGTTCCCCTCCGGGGGCGCTGGCTCCCACCCGGCCCCAGAGATCAGGCCGCACTGGGTCTGAGCCCCGGCCGCGGGGCGAGGGGAGCTCAGAGCGCTTACAGTCATTCTCTGTCGCAGGCGGGAACGGCTGCATCGCGTACGACGTGGTCATCAACTCCGGCTTCTTCAGCAAAGTGGAGGTAAGCGCCCCCTGCTGGGCCGGGCCCCCCCCGCAGCTATGGGGGAGTCAATGTGTGGGTGGGGGGCGGGGGGGCATGCAGCTCCCTAGTGGTCCCCAGGCTGTCCCCTGGGACCCGCTGACCCTGCCCTTTCTCTGTGCCAGGCTGACCCTTTCTTCAAAGAGTTCTTCATCACCGTAGCCCTGGAGGGGCTGGCAGACAAGTACAAGATGGACGTCAATCACCCGGGTACCGTCCAGGGTCGGGTGTGAGCAGCACCGGCAGAGCTGGGGGAGCCCAGGGCTGGGCTAGCAGGGGGTTGCGAGGCGGGAGTGAGGGGCACCAGCAGGGCTGGGCTGGGCTAGCAGGAGCAGCGGGTTGGGAGTGAGGGGCACCAGCAGGGCTGGGATGGGCTAGCAGGGGCTGCGGGTCGGGAGTGAGGGGCACTAGCAGGGCTGGGATGGGCTAGCAGGGGGCTGCGGATTGGGAATGAGGGGCACTGGCAGGACTGTGGGAGGTAGGGGGGCTCTTATTCCATGCCCCCAATCTGCCCCTCCCCATTAACCCCTTCCCCACCACTCTGTAGGGTGGCGAATCCTGAAGAACCGGAAGTTCATGGGCTCCATCTCGGGACAGACCATCCGCACCAAGTCTAGCCCCGTTATACAGGAGATGGACTTCAGGTGAGTGGGGGGGTGTCTGATTACTCTGCCCCCTGGGGGTCTAGCTCCTTGGGATGCTGTGGATTTTAACAACCCTCTCCCCAATCCCCCCTAACCCCCCCCGTGACCGCTGTTCTCTGATTGCGGGCTGCTGCTTTGGAAATCCAGTGGCAGAGAGTTCTGCTGGCTCCATTTGTAATGAGGAAAAAAGCTGGTGTGTCTGAACTCCCCCATCCCCCCAGGAGTGCAATGGGCTCTCCCCCATCTGGCACGCACCCAGGGATGGAAAATACAACTGTTCTGAGCCGACCGTGCCCAGCTCCAGCGGGGTGGGGGAAGCCTAGAACTGTGGGTCTCTTGTGAGCCTCAGGGGCTACAAAAGATTCTCCAGCACCCCCAAAAAGCCGAGCACCCCAGCTTTGCGCTGGCGTCAGGCACAAGGGGCTCCGGGCAGCGGGATGGGAAGGGCGGGGCGGTGAAATCCAGTGCGTGGGGAAGGCGATGTGGTAATCAGACTGACGTGATTGCAGGGGTCTGGCTGGCCTGGTTGAAATGGTTCCCTGGCTAGTTGATTGGTGGAGGGGGCTGTGTATGCTGGGGGGGGGGGCGTGTGTGCCTGTGGGAGAGGCTGCTAAAGGCCCCCCCCCCCTCCCATTGCTGAAATTGACATGGCGAGAGAAATCGACCAGAGAGCCCAGGCCTGGGCGTGTCCCCTGTGGGAGACAAGCCAGAGCCCCATGGGGTTGTGCCGTCCCCAGACAGACTCGGGGGGCTGGGTCCATGGCCGGGCCTTGGGGCAAAGGGGGATGGGGGGGGGCAGACAGGGATTTTTACTGGGTGCTGAAATCCCCTCCCCCCACAGCTCCCTCCCTCTGCTGGGTCCCCCCTCACTGCCATGCGGCCCCTCCCCAGTGGGGCACTGGCTGTTGTGCCGTGTGGGGCAGGGAGCTCAGACCTGGCCCTCTGTGACCGTCTGCCCTCCCCACCCCCATTTCTTTCCACAGCTCCCCTGTGCTCCCCAAATTCACCATCCTGGCAGAGCCAGCGGGAGGGTCCCCCGAATTCCTGCTGGCCGAGATCCACCTGCCCAGAGTGGTGAGTTCTGCTGGGGGGAGTTCCTGGCTGCTCCAGCCTCGGGTCTGTTTGTCTGTCCCAGCAGGGGGGCGGGGTGCTGGCTGGGGGGGCGGGTCTGTCCCAGCAGGGGGGTGGTGGGACGCTGGCTGGGGGCCGGGTCTGTCCCCGCAGGGGGCGCTGTGGGGCGGGGGTGCTGGCCATGTGGCAGGTCTTGGGGTGCTGTGGGGCAGGGGTGCCAGCTGGGGGTGGGTCTGTCCCCCCAGGGGGTGCTGTGGGGCAGGGGCGCCGGCTGGAAGCGGGTTTGTCCCCTCAGGGGGCGCTGTGGGGCGGGGGTGCCAGTTGGGGGGCGGGTCTCTCCCTGCAGGGGGCGCTGTGGGTCAGGGGTGCCAGCTGGGGGCGGGTCTGTCCCCACAGGGGGTGCTGTGAGGCGGGTCTCTCCGTGCAGGGGGGTGCTGTGGGGCGGGGGTGCTGCCCGTGGGGCAGTTCTCTCCCCACAGGCTCTCATGACCCCTCCCGCAGGGCTCGGCACGGGAGCTCTCCCTGGAGCTGGGGCAGGACCGGGTCGTGCTGCGGGGGGGCCCGGACCCCTACGTCCTCGACATCTACATCCCCCACGACATCGTCCCAGAGCGCAGCCGCGCCCGCTTCCACCGGCGCACCGCGGTGAGCCCCCCGGGGAACTCCCATTGCCCCCTGCCAACCAGCCCCCTGGGGAACCCCCCATTGCCGTCTGGGGAGCCCCCATTGCTTCCCGCCATCTAGCCCCCCGGGGAACCCCCCTATCCCTGCCCTCCCGGGGAACGCCCCATTGCCCCCCGCCACCCAGCCC